AATCCACAAGATCTTGTTCAGGCTCAGTTTATGGCTAGTGCAGAGAAGAAATGGTAGTGGAAAATTGTAAGGATTTTAACCGTATCTTTTGACATTCACATAAATTATGCTCTCTATGGGAGAGAATAAAAGACAAAATTATGCTTTTCTTTTTTGAGTTGCTTTAAAATTGGAATCCTTAGATGCTTATTAGTGAAGAGAATTCCAATTTACAATATAATTTTGTAGACAACAATTTTTTGTCGTGTCCTAAAAGATTTGATGATTAAGACAGGCAACCATTAAATACGTGCAGTAACAATGTTTTCCTTTATTTCAAGTGTCACCTGAGGTTCTCTGCTGCTAAAATGTGGCAATTTAAAACATGATAATGTCGTATAACCCAATACAAACATGAAAATGGCATCATATTAATTTTTATATTCTTTAAATTATCTTAGACTTGATTTCATCTTGGCATAAGATTTTATAATGGATTACGAATATTCAAGAGAGAACTGAGCCATCCTTTCAACATGGTATAGGTTTGGAATAGTTCCTTCTGTCTTGTTTTTTTGTTTTTTTTCTTCTTATTCTGGCACAGTATTATAGTGAGTGTACTCAGAATACAGTCTTGAGATTTAGAGCTTTCCTGACTAAGCTTTTCAGCTGCTTGATCTCCATATACTTCATTCAGAGTAACCTAGCAGAACAGAGCCTGCATCCTGCTGATAGGTGTTTTTGCAATTTGCTTTAGATGTACTTAAGCTTTAATTTTCATTCACTTACCCAGGTATCTGTGAAAAAATCTGTGTTTGCTATTCCTCATTCTATTTTATGCTTTTGTACTTTCCCTCTGCAACTGGAGAATGCTGTAGTATATTTGTTAGTTTTGCTCCTTTCCCCATCCCTCATTTCACACTGCAGGGAACATTTCATTATTTCATCCTATTACAGTTACATGAAAAATTTGACCAGAGCCTCTTTCTCACCTTTTATCAGCTTTTCTGATGTTACAGTGTACTTTAGAATCACACTCCTCTCCTCTGCTTGAGATAATAACTTTTAGGGGCTCTTCTAGCAGATTTTTTTCTGAAGGCACACCAGATCCTTAGTAGCATGCTTCCCTCTTCTGTTACCACAATTTCATTGATAGCATAGGCTGAAGGTGTGATTTCTTCTTATTTACTGTCTTAAAAGCTTGTCTTAAAAGCATGTTCTACTCCAGAGGGAAAAGAACAGTAATGATGAGTCGACTGAGAAACGGGGGAAAATTTCTAGGGGTCAGTCTCAAAGAACTTTCCATTTTGGAAAGCGAACGATGCCTAATAGTTTTGAGAATTTTGTTTTTCACATGCAATTACACACAATTTAAAACTTGTTCCTTAAAAAATTTCATCATATACCCATTAAAAAAAAAAATTCCATATGAAAGTGTTGTATTTCATCTTGACTATTTTTCTGCTGTTTTGATATATTGTCCAGTTTTTAGTCTACAGAGGCTTGAGGCCTGCTTATAACTTTACAAACAGTCTTGAGATCCACTAGCTTAAGTGATCAGAGTTTTTTATACTGCTTGAAATTAGATTCTAGCACCTGGTTTAAAAGAGGGACTTCCTATTCTCATAGGAATATAATATTCCTATTCTTTTATTGTATTAGAAATCTTGCCATTCTCTTAAGAAGTCCCAGTATTTAACAAATCGCTTTTTAGACATGGGGTTTCCCATGAGCAGTTTATACAGCCATGGTTTATAAAATTATAATAATCATGGAAACTTGTACCTCAGGCACTAAGAAAATGTCTTTGTTACTGTGCCACCTATGTTGCACTTATGTCCAGGTTTACCCTCTCTGTCCTGCTAAACCAATTGATGCAGATAGAAATATTTTCAACTTCAATGAATTCAGATATTTGATCAAGAATTTAAATTTTGCAAAGGAAGACAGGATTCCCTTAACAAAATCACTGTTTTGACCTTGTTCAAGTGGATGGAGAGTAGGGTGAGAAAAGCCCAGAACACAAGAAAATATTTCCTTCTATGTTTTGGTGCAGTAGAATGAGTTGTAGGAAAGCAGTCAAATCCCTCATCTTGTGGACTTTATCAGGGTCTGCTTGAAAGGGTCTGACAGCAACAGCAGTCACTCCATTACTTTATTTGGACTTTTGACTAAATCTGCAAGCACATATCTTCAAAGGCATGTAGACATTTAATAATTTTCAAGTGTTTAATTAAAACATTCAAAGGAGTTTGCATGATTGAGTCCAGATTCTCAAGGGCATTTCTGAATTTTAGAAACTTCTAAATGAATCTATGACTTTATCTATACTGCCTAATAACTTTAAAGGCCAGTACCTCATTTATACAGGCCAATATTTCCAGGGAAAAATAATCAAACTCTTTACTAGCCCTATTTTACAGCACTTTTCTATTCTTCCATTGGAAGAATAGGGAGGAGAAAAAGAGAAAGGGGTACTGAGAAAATATGGCATATAGAGCTGTAATGACACACACATCAAAGAATTGAATTAAGCTTGCAATGAATGGGAAATGTGAGATATAAAGACTTTCAGATATTAGTTTTTTCAAGGTTAATAAAATCTTCTTAGATATTTTCTCCCAGTTTTCTGATTTTCTTAAAGGAAAAAAGGTCAAGCTAATTCTTCTATATTTTGAAAGCAAACTTTCCCTATCCAAACCCTTGATGAAGTTTGTAAAGATCTACAGAAATAATGATTCAGGAGAATGATTACTTGTGTCACCTCTGCATATCAAAGGTCATTGCATTTCTTCTGAATGTTCTTGTGTTGAGTCTAGTAACTTGTATTAGACTGACTCAAACCCTTTGTAAAGCAGCAGACCTTGATTTGCAGGCATCAGTGGATGGAAAAATTACCCCTTTCTTTTTCCTCATAATAATCACCTTAGCTGTTAGGAAACAGCTGACATTGTTTCTATGTTGAATTTGTCTCTCTTAAGGGTTTTACATTTTTTTTCTTGTCATGCTTTTCTGTGTAGTCTGAAAGGAGTCTTCAGTACCTGCTATTTTCTCCCTGTGAAGGTCTTCAGACACTGTAATCAAGTCACCTCTTGGTGCTCTTTTTGATAAAATAAATGTGCTCAGCTCTTTAAATTTGTCAAAGAATTTTCTCCAGCCCCTTCACTTATTTTTAGTACTTTTTATGCAGCCATTCCAACTTTCTACAGTCTTGTTTTTTGCAATATGTACAAGACAGCAATTCCAAATATCATCAGCGATGTCTATAGAAGTAAAATTGTCCTTCTAATGTTCTATTTCATTTAATGGAAATGAGTCCATTTTAGCAGATAGTTTTGAGTGTTTAGTGAACTTCTATTTGGTCTTATAGCTATGATACACTTGAAGACAGTATTTTTTATTTTCTTTTTTTTTAACCAGGAGGGAAGCTTTTTGTCTGTTAATATGTCCTATATTTGATTTTTTTTCTAGCCGTAAGGACTCATATTTGTGTTTGAACAGTGCCATAAGAGCTATAGCGTGACCTAGAGGACAGAATGCCTCCTCTCCTGGAGGCTCTGTTGAGGAGATTTATCTAGTGGAGGGCAGAAGACCATCTCTGACTGATAGGTTGGTATGTGGGCGAGAAGGATGTATTCTCTCTTCCCTTGCAGTTTTCTCCCCTTTGCTTCAAATCACCATTTGGCATTATTTCCTTGATAAGTCTTAATGAGAGTGTTAGAAAAACCAATGCTATTTTTAACATTTCATATTGGTCATAAAATGAAATTCCTGCCCACATTTTATTTAACAGCTAATTTACATTTTGGGCAGAATTTGACAGCACTGCTCAATTTCTCTTTAAAATAATTTTTATTCTACACATCAAACTTTTAAAGGCAAGTAGACACATTGTCCTGTGTGTTCATTGACTAAAGTGGTTGAATCTTTTATTTTCACTGTAAATTATTAGCGACATACAGCTAAATGTAGCTATATGTGTTTCTATGTGTGTTACGTTTGCATATTCTAGTTTGGACACACATTCATAATATGGGACTGAAGCAGGTTTGAGAAAGAAAATCTCATTAAACCCAGTGATAAATTTACAGCAATGAGCAAACACAAGTATTGAGGACGAGCATTTCAGAAGGGAGTGATAGGTAGATTTTAGCAGGCTCTCCATGATCCTTTGTGTACATCACAGGGAGGGAAGCAGTCCTCCACAGGCTGTCTCCAGGACTGCTGTTGGGGCTGAACAAAGCAGGGTGTCATCTCAAAAAACAGATCCTATTTTTCTGTGTAGGCTGAGGCTCCTACCAGCTGGACAAAACAAGGGCTTACTTTTGATGAAATTGAAGAATGCAGAAAAAAATACTGCCATGACAGTTTTTTCCCCACTGTGTTATCCTACTTAAACAACAGTGACCTTTTACATTACCAGTCATAAAAGAGAGGACTGGGAAAAGCTGATGATAAGAAAGGAGAAGAAATTGGCAAGGAAGGAACAAGGAAGGTAAATGACTAATGCTTTATCAGCTGGCACTGTAGCGAATTCAGGGCAGACAAATTATCATATAAGAAGCAATCTGGCCCAGAAGACACAGCAATTAACTTGTTTTATTACTGGAGAATGGGATAACAGTTTCTTCCACAAACCAAACCCAGAAATCTCACAATCACTGACAGATAGCTATAAGAAAAGGAAGCAAAAAACATTTTGATCTCTTCAAAATTTAACAGTGATATTTTCTTGTAGAGGGATTTGAGAAAATAGAATTGAAATTTGTCTGATTAGATTAAATGTATTCATATACCTGGTTTGCCTGTGGTAAATAGCTCTAACTGCCAATGTAAGTGCTGAGAGATTTAATAGAGTGTGTTCACTTTTATTCCAAGCGTCTTGCATTTGTGTGCATTTCTATCACAGACGAGAAAAGACATAAAAAACCCCAGCTATGGCAAAACCTGACTGACAAACTGTTACATATCTGAATGGACATAATCATACCTAGTAAAGCCCTACTTTTTTTGTTCTGCAGGTACACGAAGATGAAGACAGCGACCAACATCTACATCTTCAACCTGGCTATGGCAGATGCACTTGTTACCACGACCATGCCTTTCCAAAGCACCGAGTACCTGATGAACTCCTGGCCCTTTGGTGACGTGCTGTGTAAAATAGTGATTTCTATTGACTATTATAACATGTTTACCAGCATTTTCACACTCACCATGATGAGTGTTGATCGGTACATTGCTGTCTGTCACCCTGTGAAGGCTCTGGACTTTCGTACACCCCTCAAAGCGAAGATAATCAACATCTGTATCTGGCTGCTGTCCTCATCTGTTGGTATATCAGCAATAGTTCTTGGAGGCACCAAAGTAAGGGAAGGTGAGTGTGAGCATTCATAATTCTGTCTTTTTATTTCTCAGCTGACAATAAATTGTAGGTTCAAATATTGATCAAACCTTATTTGTTCCTTCTTCAAAAGTACATCTAAATTCCTGACATTTTGAAATATATAGTGAAACATCACAGTAAAACATATAAATCATTTAAGCTCAGATGCCCATGCCAAATTAAAGAACAAAATGCACCTTGGAACACTGCCTGTGCTAGAATGAGTCCATCAAAAACTACAGACAGCCGGGAAAAAATTATCAGGAGTTTAATCACATTGGGCAAACCCAGGATCAGTTTAGGCTGAAAATTGAAATGTGGCTTTAAGGTTCTTTTTGTTCTTAAGGTGTTGTGAGAGTAGTTCCAATGAAGTCCCTAGAGCAGAAACTAGAATTCTTGGGAGTTCATTATCACCAGCTGTTTCACAGAACTTGAAGGCATAGTGAAGAAAGAAAAAGTCAGTAGCTGGAGAGAGAAGATTAAGATAAATTATGTATGACAATATCTCAAGATCATTTTTAAAAAGGATAGGAATTTATACAGAAACCTGGAAAAGCTGAGAATAAGGACTGTGACAGGAAATGGAAATTCAGGCTATGGCAGGGAAACAGCTACAAGAACACAAAGTCAGTGAAAACTCTGTGCAGATCATGTGTAGGCTTTTCTTGAAATTTCTGTTCCATGAAGAACTGTGGATTTAGCCACTATAGGTCCTGACTCATTACCCTGCTATGGGATTAATCTGATTTCAAGATCTTACTTGAAAAGGAAGGGGGAGAAGCATTTTCACACACATGTGCTTCAGACCCACAGGTGTGAGTGCAGTGCAGGGGCATCTCAGTGTCTTCAAAGGGCTGGTGACTTCTAATGGTGTCTTTGGGTTGGGATCATCCCATTGCTGGATGGCTGGATAAAATACATGGCATTTATGTGGTAGGAGTCTTCTTTGAGATGTAAACAACCTTTTGAAAAATTATTCATAATTTCCTGCACTATCAACCTTTTTTATTTAGATCAGTTTCACTCCTCTCGAGACAAATGTTTACCTAAGGACACTGTTTCATCTGGCAGAGACAATAAATGCTGTCTGTTAAGCTGTTTGACATAGATCAGTGTGAAAAATCATTTCAGTAACAGCTGCTTAAGGGCTAATAGATTTGGCTGAAGATATATAGATTTTTTTTTTCTTGCTGTTAGTCTTCTGTTATGTAGGTGACAGAAAAGTCCTCTAGAAACTCTTCTTTCAGTGCTTTGAGGGATCACGTGTCCTGGTCTGCAGTGCTGTAACTCTTCTCCCCAGTAAAGTTTTGACAGGCTCTGTAAAACAAGGTCTAGCTGGGGAAACATTAACTTCAGGCGTGTTTGGGAAGGATGTCTTGCAATGTACGAGATCTTGAAGGCCATGGGACATTGGCTCAGACAGGTGTTTTGCTGGAGCATGCTCAGCTAACAGAATATTCCTGTCATTCAATGCCAGCAGAATGTTTAGATCAAGGGGGTCCTCTGAGGCCAGCAGTGATTAAATGCCTTTTCCATGCCATGTAGAAGGCAGGCCTTTTTTTTAGCTTATGAAACAGAGACTGGTAATACAGAAGACAGCTGGGCTAAATGATGTTGGAAATATTGGCAACTGCTTGTCAGCTGCTACTGTTCCTCCCTGCTTGTCTGATCTAAGGTCTCTTTTGGGCATTTAATGTCAATTACCTTGTCTGGTGTGCTCATGAATTGTGCTGATAAATGCTGAAGTGGAAAGGCAAGGATGCTCCCTCTGCCTGACAGCTGGAGCTCAGGCCTGAAACTTTATGTAATGTTGGTTAAAACAATTGTTGTTTATATGCTTCAGGGCCTCTTTCGGATTCACATTTAAGCAACAACTGAACAGCAAATGGAAAGTGATTATACTTGAGGTTATATATACATATATATATATAGACCCTACTCAGTAAATCCATTTTGTTATCACAGTTCAGAATTGCTCCCAGGTGTGTCCTTTTAGATACATTTTTCCTGCAGAATGAATTTTACATCTGTGTGAATTTTCCTGCTCTGGCCTTAATGGAGCTTTTCTTGCTGAGAAATTGTTCAACTATCAAAAAAAAATAAAGGCATAAAATTAAATATTCATATAGTAAGGATATGAAGAGTATAAAAGTGACACAATCAATATGATATATCTAATATGTATGTTTCCTAGATCAAGATTAAGATTAATCTTAAATGGTAGTTTATCAAGCACATTATAAAATATATTTATACTGAATACCATATAGAATTCAGGATTTTTCCTTAAATATATCAAATGAATTCAGAATATTTGGCTTTCAAAGTGGAAAATGTCAGTATGAAATCTGAAGTTTATGACACTATTCATAGTTCTGCAACTTTTAGGGCAGTAAAAATAAAATATAAATTAGATTTTATTATGTTCTATTTCCAAAGTTTCAGAAAATTAATATGGTATTGTTATCATGACCAGAATTTCTATTAACTGTTTCCTACTTGTAAACTGGGAAACTGTAAATGGATTCTATAAAGTACTATATAAATACTATACTATATATAAATATATATAATATATATACTATATATAAAGCATTACATATATCAAGTGTAATACATGAATATTAATGAATTTAGACTAAGATTTTTCCATAGAAAGCAAACCACAATGAGATGTAAGATGATAATTAAGTTTGTATTTGATAATTTGGCATTCTAAAATAACATTGCCAACCGCAAATTATAGCAAGATATAGTAAGGATGACCTAATAATTTTGATAAACATGTGAAATTATGCCAGTAGATCTGAAGAGGCCATTTCTTCTGGGAGTGAGATTCAGAGAGTAGCTGGATGTGGTCTGGGGCAGCCATCCCCGATCACACCTCATTTTCATCCCACACATCTGGAGGCAGATTTGCTAATTTAGATAATACAGCTGCATCCTGATTTTATGTCTGCTGCTAAGTCATGATCTGCTGCAACAAACAGTTACAATTGACAGAAAAACTACTTTGAAGATGATTGTTGGCATTTCTAGAATAGAATTAAGTAAAAGCAATTATGCTTATGAAAATCTACATCACAAAGGATTTAGATAAGTTCACAGAGGGTCAAGTCATACTTGTGCTGTCATCTGTGTATCCTGCATCTGCCTTGAAAAATGTCTTTTTCACTTTCAGCTTGCAGAATCATACATATTATTTAAAATAAAACCTCAAAATATTTAGCTTTTTGAGCTGTAAATGTTTACTATTAAAATGTTTCTGTATTCAATATTGCCCAGTTACAGCTTTCTGGTATCAAATCATGGAAATGTGAGTATGGCACTATAATGATAACTTCCTCCCATAACTGTTTTTCAAAACAAATTCTCTGCAATATTTTTTTGATTTGGAAAGCATTTTTATAGCAGGGAAATTTGGCTTGACTTTTTTTTCTGACGTGTCCTAATGGAGACAGATGTGAAAAAGTGATGTGCAGGAGTATACTGAATCATTCCACTCTTAGATCTGAATCAATGAAAAACAATACGTAATAATTTGTAGAGAAATGACAAACTCAGTAGGGAAAATTATAAAAAGTACAAAGAACTTTACAGGATAAAATCTAAGCTACAGTTCAGAGTGAAAAATCCCTGTCTTACCCTGACTTATGTTCAGAAGAGTTGAACTACTGACAGTAGTTGTAAATTTGTCCCTTCTTTTGCCTTTTCATTTATCTTGTTATTTATGTTTCCATATGTTTTATAGTCTGGAAGGCTCTGATGAGATCAGCAAATGAAACCTCAAATATTTCATTCCTTAGCCGCCTCCTGTCAGATGAAATATTTCTGTTAAATACATTCAGGGGACAACCTGAGGCTCTGAATCCTGGCATGGGCAATGGGAAAGGGAGTGAGCTGATCTCTGTGGCCCAGATCCTGCAGTCTCTGCACAGGCTGCATTTTCAATGGCACGATCTGCAAAAAGAGTAGCTTCCATTTCACTCCATGCACACATGTACTTCATTTGCTTCTGTTTAACAGAAAAGATGATGTTTCCAGGGGTTTTTCTGAATGTAAGCATTTGTGTGTACTCTATTTGTGCTGAAAAAGGCCTGTGGGAAAAGGTTATTGCACAATTATCATATATTGGCAAAATTTTATAACTAACCTCCTTCGGCTTCTACCATTCATGTTATCAAAATTTTTTCTCCACCCACAGATGAAAACATATGCAGTTTGATGATAATGATGATATTTCTACTTCACTGAACATGGTACTCAGTCTTGTTTTAAATCTCAGTGAGATTCAAATAGAAACGACTTTACAGATTTTGTTTTTGTGCTCTGCTTTTTTAGGTCCTCCCATGGGAAAGAAATTTCATACAATATTTTTCATTTATAAAAGCTCAAAACTCAGTAATCTCTACAGACAGCTGCATAAAACCAGTTTCAATGGTAACTGAAAGCTTCCTTGGAGTGATTTAATGATAATTCCATTTATTAATATCGCAGTACATGCTAATCACTTTTCCTAGGTTATGCTATGATAATGACATTGTTTAGAATATCTAATAACAAGGCAATTTTCTTCTTGCTTCCTTCATTTTTAGATACCGCTAGCACTGAATGCTCCTTGCAGTTTCCAGACAGAGATTACGTGTGGTGGGACATCTTCATGAAAATCTGTGTCTTTGTCTTTGCATTTGTTATTCCAGTCCTCATTATAATTGTTTGCTATACCCTGATGATTCTGCGCCTGAAAAGTGTACGGCTTCTCTCCGGGTCTCGAGAAAAAGATCGAAACCTGCGTCGCATCACCAGGCTGGTTCTTGTGGTTGTGGCAGTTTTTATTATCTGCTGGACTCCTATTCACATCTTTGTGCTGGTTGAGGCCTTGGGGGACGTGTCCCACAGTACTGCTGCCATATCCAGCTACTACTTCTGCATCGCTTTGGGTTACACCAACAGCAGCCTCAACCCAATCCTTTATGCGTTTTTGGATGAAAACTTCAAGAGATGCTTCAAGGACTTCTGCTTCCCCCTCAAGATGAGGATGGACAGGCAGAGCACCAGCAGAGTCAGAAACACTGTGCAAGACCCAGCTTACATGAGGGAAGCAGGTGGGGCAAACAAACCTGTATGACTAGTCGTGGAAATGTCATCTTACTGTCCTCAGGAGAGAGAGGAGTCCAACGACCTAGGACTGACGCAGATTACCACTGCAGTTTGAAATCGACTCACCCAGACAGACATTTCTGGAATATTTCAGAAATCCCAGCAGTTTAAGCTAAAGCAAGTTTATTATTGATAAACAAGAACCGCCTGAAAATGAGCTCAGATGAAAAGGACCTGGATGATGGCCAGATTTTGGCACCGTATCTGTTGTACTGGAGCCAGCACTAAAACACACTTTTGCAGAGTGAAGAGATAGTGTTGCACCAGGTGATTCTGGATAAGAATAGTTCTGGCTCTTCTCTTTACAATATGTAACATTGTAATAAGCAACATTTGGTCCTAAAAGAACTCTACCAGAAGCTTCTGCCCCAGCAGTGATTGCTTCTAAAGTAGGAAGTTTGACAACCTCATCCTCTTTAACAGTGTTAGGTTTCTGTGAACAATGCCAGAGCTATAATCAATATTGTCCTCAATTAATATATCTGTAACCTTTGTTTGTGCTGTGAAAATCCAACTTAAGCATGATCTACCTACACACCAAAGTGATTTTATTGTGTCTGTGTATGATAAAGCCTTTTGGCATTCAAAAATATTGGAATTTAAGGAAAATTGTTATCACATGTTTGATCACCTGTGTGTAATGTTTTGTACGTGTGATCTTCCAAGGTGGTTGTTTCTTTATTGAGTCTGAATAATATAATATGCATTTTCAGAGTGTATATTGAACAAGAGGCGAGAAAACTTCAAATGCTTCATCAAAATTGATGAAAAGCTGTGTTACATTCATTCCATGGAGGAAACAGTCTCATGTGTAACTTGTTTTCCTGGACAATATGTAAGAAGGCTGAAATAAATATTTGACAAATTAGAAACAAGTGAAGTAGCACATGAACTAACTGGATTGATACAAAGGAAATTAAATATTACTGGATGATTTAATGGCTGTTGATGGAAAAAGTTTTTGGTTTATTGATGCTGATATGTTTTCTTTGATACAGTCCATTAATTCAGTAATTTTCTCTGTTTTCCTGTGAAGATGGAGGTGTCAAGGCACAGCTAAATAACTTACTAGCTTGCCGAACATAAGTTTATGGTTAAACTGAGCCTAACTTCCAGTCTGCAGACTTTTGTCTTCCTGAAGTTATATATTGCAACTCCCACTACTGCTGTTGCGGAAATTTGGAGGAATGCTCTCATTGCCATCACCCTGAACAGATACACAGATATATATCTTGTTAATTTTGTTCTTTTACAGAAGAAACTATAAGGTAGGTGCCTTCACTTCATGGCAAATTTTCTGAGAAACACAATCTGATTTGGTCCTAACAGACCAAAAATGCTTCATGCACACCAGCATAAATAAGGAGTTTGTTCTTGGACTAGCTGGCAGTCCAGTTCTGGAGGAAGTGCTGAAGATGTTCAGCCTTCTGCAGGACTTCCATATACTTTATTGTTAATACAGTCATATATATCAAATATTTTTGATACCAGGTTGATAAATGCTGTTATTGTTGAAATATTCAAGATAACTCTTTCTGAACAAGTCTAGTGCTTTCTGATTTTTTTCTACGTGAAGAATGAATAGCTGACCTCAGGATGCTTGCTTTACCTGGGGAAATGAATGATGTTCACACAATGCTGAGTGAGTCTCATCTCCTATTCTGTCATTCATTCATTTTTTTTAACATGCATCCACCTTTCTAAATTAAGTCCTGACCTTTAAATGGCCACAAAAAAAGAATGTTTAAGGCAAAAAATTGAAAATCCAAGGTGTTTATCAAGTTAGGAGCAAGTGAAATGGGAAAGAACTAGAATCTAATGAACTATTTTCATTCAAAATAACCAGTGTTCTTGTTCATGACTTACAATTTGCATATGTATGTCTGTGCTTGAATAGAGTTTTTGTTCTACACATTATGTGCAATGCTCTGCATTGTAATGAAAAATCACTGTTCTTAATTTGCAAAAAGGAGGCTTCTAATAATATTTTTTCAGGTTTATGTTTTTAAGAAGGAGATCATAATTTCTATCACAGTGGGAGGAAGGTATAACTTCCTAACAATTAAGCTTGCAAAATGTTGTAAGAATGTGTCCTAAAGGTTTATTTCTATCATGGATCATTAACAGCCAAATTAGTCTGAATGCAGTAGAAAGATGTCTCGGAAGTTTTCTTGTCAAATTGAGCAGCTTTTGAAGCTACACTTCACTGAACAACAGCAGAAAACTGGTCAAGGTATCTTTAGCACCCGAGGAAGAGCATTAAAAATGATACTATGGTTTTGTTCAGAGGATCTGCCTCGAGATGACTGAATTCCCATTGCAAAGCACTTCACATTCTTTGTGACTCCAGGCCAATGACTTGCCTTGTCACTTGCGCTGGCTCCAGGAGGCAGCAAGAGGTGAAGGCAGGGTAGGAGCTGCCTGGCCCAGGAGTACGTCTGGGTGGGGAATGGGGCAGCAGGGACAGGCTGTGCTGTCGCACGGGCCCTGGAGGAAGGCAACATGTGGCAGACACACGTGGGCAGCCTGGGAATTAGTTGCACTTGCTGCAACCACTCTTACCTCCCTTTCTTTTTGGAGGTTCCAAAAATTCAATACTGCAAAAGCATGGTCACGGACCTGCTTGCAGGCCTAAACTCCAGTCAATCAACTAGTGTGGATAGTTAACATCTCACTTTCTGTGTTTTCTGCTTCTTTTAACTGAGAAATCTTTTATTTGGAAAATATACTTGGTGTTCTGGTTCAGGACAGAACAACAGATGGCAGAGAAATAATGCTCAGATGCTGAGAAACCCCAAGTTTTGTTAATGAGCAATACCTCAACATGCTGAGAAATTCAGAGGAAAACTGAAAATTACTTTTTTTTCCTGTGAAAGGCAAAGGGAAAACATACCAATATGAGCCAGAATTCCTCTTGGTTCTGGTAAATTAATGAAGTCTTTGCAAAGAAGACAGGGAGATTGTGCTGGGATTTTTATTTTCCTTAATTGTTTATCAATTCTTAATCAAACATAATCATTGTAAATATATGGCTGTTTTCTTCCCATTGAATTTTTTCTTCAGAAAAAAATGTGGATTCAGCAAAAATGGTTGAGTTTGTGATAACTTATGTAATCTGTCAAATAAAAAAAGTTAATTGTGCCTGGATCTTACAGGTGTGCAATACAATATAGTGAGTACATCTATTCAATGCTAGAGTGATAGACTGAAAGACATTTCAACTGACTGAATCAAAGTATTTTGGCTTGGGTTTTTCTTTTTGTTGGACTGCATGTGGCTTGGGAACTGTTGCTGCATAGAGCCCTGATGTGCAAGGTGGAATGATCTCAGACTCAGAACACTTAGTTAAAAGTGTTTTGACATCCAACTGTGTGGCTAATGCCAGAGAGTGTGCAAGCATTGGGAGCTGCTTGCTGGAGGGAAGCAGCTGAGAGCAGGAACTGCTTCCCCTGCTGCTTTGGGACAGGTAAAACCTGTCACACACTGTGTAAGGACTGCTCAGCTTTAGGTTACACCACTGTGATTTAGCCACAGCTGGCAACAAAAAACAATGGAGTCACTTTCTCACTGCCTGTTCCCTCCCCTCCAGAAGACTTGTGGGTTGGGATAAAAACAGTTTGATAATAGAAACAAAATAAAATATACTAATATTGATACTAATGCTAACACTATTAGTAATAAAAAGGAGACTGTGCCTGGCTCCTCTTGGCCAACTCCTCCCAGCTTACACACTGAGCATGAAACCCTGTGGCATGGGATAACTCTTTTGGCAAGACTGGGGCAGCTGCTCTGGCTGTGCTCTCTAGTCTCTTCTTGTGCCTGCTGGCAGAGCATGGGAAACTGGAAAGTCAGGGTAAGCCTTGCTTGGCCACAAATAAAACATCAGTATGTTATCAACATATTCTCTTACTAAATCCAAAACACAGCCCTGTACCTGCTGCTCGGAGGAAAACTAATGATAACCCAGCTGAAATCAGGACAATCATTTCTGGAAAAGATTCTTGGAAGTTACCAGTGTACTTCCCCTCCAACATTGATTTTTAGCTGCCAGCAAATCTAAATTCTCTTATTCAGTTTCCAATTCCGTTAGTACCAATGGCAGCATCTCAGATGTTACGGATCTACAGAAGGGAAATACCCATCTCCTTCATAAGTAAACAAGCCCTGGGGCAGACTGATAGCTGTAGGAATCTAGGTTGCTACTTAACTGCTAAAAGGAATAGCAAAAATACCTACAGCTTTGTACTCCACCGCTAAGTTGCAGCAAACCCTGTAGTAAACTTCCTGCAGGTGTTATTGTCTATTAGTGATTTAATGGTGTGAAGACTAGTTAGTGGGTACACAGTGCGAGAAAATTGTATTGACAATGACAGCAGTTTAGGAAAGTGCTTAGAAAAAGTGTGTAGAAGCTAGGAGACATGAAAAATAAAGGCTGTGAGCACGTGTGAAACAATGTATCAGTGTACAGGATTTCTTCTTGCTTTTAATTTATAAACTCTGATATTATATATTTATACTTATTATAAAGCAACTGATTTCTCTCCAAGTTAGCTGAAATGTGTTCTAAAAGCTTTGAAAATGCAAACAATTTAGTGGGCCTTGATGTGTGGAGATAAAGTAGACAACAAAGGTACTGAACTACAAAACATTTGGTAGAGTGGGAGAATAGTGCAATGTAAAAGGAGAGTTTGGAAACTACTGTGAAATACAGCTGACTTTCTTGGTAGAGGCCATCATGTCCTGGAAGAAAAGTACTTATTACTGCTAATGCATTTCCTCCCAAACTGTCTCTCATTAAAGTAAATACTTAGCTGTCTGTCTCCAAAACAACCTCTATAATTTTTAAAATACTTTCCTGTGCAAGAAGCTCTTCAGAAAGCAACACCGGGAAGCAGTCACGAAGGCAGTCTAATGATAGACCTGCAACTAAATCTTGCTCTTCAGTAAATGCTTAGTGTGGGCAAAAAAGAATGTGTTGACTGTATTTATCTCATATTTCCAGATATCTGAAACACAGCTTTGAACGTCTGTATCTGTTGGACAGATATTTGACAATCAGTGGGAATACCCTTGTACTGTGAAGTTGTAATGTACTTGTCAAAACCACTGTTAATTAGCCCTGGGAATGGCAGGATGCATTTTCGGGATATGTACTTCCTTCTGTCTTCCCTGAAGCATAATTTTTTATGGCCAAAATTGCCCTAATTGAAAAATGCCTTTGTTCAGCTGAAACTAGCATTAATGTGCTGCCATTTGTAGCAGGTAAGCTGGTATTTTGTGCTTTGGGAACACTTTTTTCTTCAGCCTGATATTTTTTATCTCTGTTTTGTGTCATGGTGCAAGAAGTGTCTAGAGTAGACAGCTCCCATATAGAAGTTAGGCTTACCTAGTGTATTCTTCCCCCTCTTCTTTCAACTTCTGCTTGAGTTCCAGTCTTCCTTTTTGGTGAGGGAAAACAAAACAAAACAAAACAAAACAAAACAAAACGAAACATAGGAATTATGTAGGCATAAACCTGTTGTCTGCAAATCCATTTTATGTTTTTCTTTTTTCTTTTTTTTTCTTCCATTTTATTCACTCCT